GACTTTTGTGCACACTTGGGGCAGTCCCCAGGTGTGCACAAAAATCTGAAAACTTTTTAAAAGTATCAGGGGATATTAAAATCCCCCCAAAACTAAAAGAGCATTCCCTGCACATGCGCCGGGAACGCTCTTGGAACGGCTTCGCTTCTGCCGTCAGCAGAAAAGGGGAGGGGTGGGGGGAAGGCTTGGCCGGCGTGCGACTGTAAGCCGCAAATCCCTGGCCGCCACCACCGCCGTCCATGGGGGGAAGGAGAGAGTACCGCCGTCCATGGGGGGAAGGAGAGAGTTTGCCAAAGGGAGCTCCGGCCTCGCTGCCACTGCTGGGGGAGCCAAGGGGGAGGGAGAAAGCTTGGCGGGCCGCCGAGGCCTTGCCGCCGCCACAGCTGAGGGGGGAGAAACCTTGGCCGCAAACTAAGCCTAGCTTCGGGGAGAGAGGGGGGAAGGAGAAAGGTTGCCACGCTGGCCTCAGAGCCACCACTGGGGGTAGAGGGAGGGAGAAGGATGGGCTCCTCTGATGGGTGGGTTCTCTCTCCCGCTTTCGGCCCGCCTCCCACTCAGCAGAGCCACCACAATCGCCTTTCTTCTGTTCCTCCCCTCTTTCCTCGTCTACCTGTCCTCCTCCCCCACGGCGGTGCGACTTCAGCCAGCCCCAGAGTGGCATAATCGAAGTGAGGACAGGATGAAAAGCTGGGAGAGACAGCCGGCCGAAAAAACTTTGCAGGCCCGCCCCTGGACGGCGAAAACTGCGGCCTAATTGCTCGCGGGACGAGCGACGTCCCGCCCCCCTGCCTGCAAACTAGAACACAGTATGCAACATTTTGTTGCGGGTCTCCACTTGTCTATATACTAATAGCCAAGACGCCCCCTGTGTGCGGGTATCTAAATCCGCACATTGGGGGCACCTAGGGGGCAAAGAGATTTTCCTGCACATTTGGGGCAATCCCCAGATGTGCAGAAAAATCTGAAATCTATAAAAAACTATTGGGGGGATACTTAAATCCCCCCAAAAGTAAAAGAGCTGCCTTGCCGCCACCGCCACTGGGGGGGCACGGGAGAAGGCTTGGCAGGCCAGCCGCTCAGGCCTCACCACTGCTGCCGCCGCTGCCGCAAGAGGGAGAAAGAAAGCTTGGCGGGCCTGACGGCTGGGAGCCGCGCGGGCCTTGCCATTGGTGCGGGAGGGGAGAAGGCTTGGCGGGCCTGGCGGAAGCCACTCGGGCCTCACCATTGGTGCCAGGGGGCAGGGTAGAAGGCCTGGCGGGACCGGGGGGGGGGCCCTTGCCGTTGGTGTGGGGGGGAGGCTTGGCGGACCCAGCGGGAGCCGCACGGGCCTCGCCATTGGTGCCAGGGGGAAGATGGAAAAGTCTGGTGGGCCCAGCAGGAGCTGCGCAGGCCTTGCCATAGGTGCTGGGGGGGGGGAAGGTTTGGCGGACCCGGCGGGAGCCACATGGGCCTTGCTGTTGGTGCCGGGGGGGGGGAGGCTTACCTGCAGCTGCTTCCTCTTCCTCCATGTGGAGCTCCCACTCCGCGAGTTTTGCAGGTCCCCCTTCTTGTGATTATATAATACATTTGGTATGTAATATTCTGTGTACTTTATTATGCTGTATTACCCACAGCATTTGAGGAAGTGCAGGGAGAAGAATGAGGGATCCAAGTCCCTGCTCTGAGCTGCGGTGACACTCATGGATTTTCCAAAGGGTTGCCAGCATACAGGTCCCAGCGGGGGTTTCCTTGCTTTTGGGGTGCTTTGATCCACCACCAGCCAGTTGGCCGTTGGGGGAAACCCCACCCCCAAACAAGGACACTGTTGCACGGCGCCATCAACATGATGATGTCACTTCGAGGTAATGTCATCACGTTGGGGATGTTGTGCGGTAGCACTGTAGTTTTTGGCCAAACTGGTTTTGAAGACAAAAAACCATAGAGTTTTGCCCCAAAACCAGAGCATCATGTGCAATGTCACCGACATGATGAATTCACTTCTGGGTGACATCATCACTTCAGGGACCTAGCAACCCTAATGTCACATTTAATGACATCACTTCCAGGTTCCAGCTGAAGTGATGTTGCAATGTTGCGCAATACCAATTTCCTTCCCCATTTTTCCCACTCCATTGAGCACCAATAGGGGACCAAGTGGGGATTTGACTGCTATAAGCAGGCAACTCTAGACCCAAGACTGTTTTGTCTCAGGCCCAGGTTACCTCTTTGTGATCTAGGTTTTTCTTCTGAATTGATACCACCAACAGCTCAAAATTGCTATTTGCCCTGCAGTAAAAATATATATAGGATCAAAAAGAAGCTAGAAGGGCTGTTAACCAACTGATGTTTTGATTTTTGAGTTCTGATGTCTGGAATGAGTATATGTGTGTGTGTATGTGACTAGATATAGTGCTTTTGTGATTGTAAGATATATGCTTAATGAGGTTGAAAGCCAGGATATAAATGCTCTAAATAAAAAAAACACACACATGAGTTTTTTGATTTTAAAAAAACGAAGTGGAGAAAAGAGTTCAACATCTCTTTTTCCAGTTGCTGTGACTTTTTAAAAATAATCTGCAAATCTTCTGGTGTCTCATCTACTTTGGTCCTTATTCTGATTCATCAGCGCAGTTCATATTTTATTATGTGTCAGTGTTGTTGACTATTTTTATTTACTGTTCTGAAATCAAATATTATACAAATATTTTAACTGGTGGTGGAATATGATATATGTCACTATGAGTGCACGTAACTGCTTGCCTGTCTTCACCTTTTGAACTGTTTCAAAAGTCCAAGTGTGATAAATACCAATGGAAATCTCAAAGAGAGGAATATGCAATGGATGGCCTTCAGAAGAAAAAGTGACAAAAGGATTGATTGGCTGAATATTCATACCTTGGAGCCTTTGTGATATCCTCAACAATAACTCTTACCTTATAGTTATGTTTCCAGCTCCAAAGAACCAAATATCTGCAATCTCAGTTTAATTCAAGCGGGCCAAAGGCCCGCTTACACTGACACCAAGGAGGGGAAGGGATTTAGAAAGCACCTTGGCCAGTCGTCTTGGACCATAATGAGCCAAGAAGGAAAAGGGAGGTGTGGAGAGGGCTAGAAACAGGAAAAGGAGGTTAGGCTTTAGCACTTGCCTGACCAATCAGCAGCAGCTCATGTTTGTGC